CAAGTTACCAGACTGGCTTATCTCTCGATGGAACAGAGAAGCCACAAGAGAAATGAAAGAACACAAGAGATATCCAGATTTCAAGACTTTTACGGCCTTTATCAATGCTGAAGCGGACCTCGCATCCAATCCGATCTCTTCTTGTAACGCAATGAAAGAAGTAGGAACTGCATCAGTATAGCGCATCAAGCACCAAAGTCGAAAGATGTCAGTGATATGACCGTTCATTCTATCCAGAAGATAGAAGAGAACTCTAAAGAGCCAAAGGAAACTCCCAAACCAAAGCCGCAGAGTACATTCTGCAGGAAGACAGATCATCAGTTGGATGCATGCCCTAAGTTTAAGGCTGAGACACTTGAGAAAAGACTGCAATTTGTTAAGGAAAACAAGACATGTTTCGGATGCTTAAGTAAAGGTCACATGTCCAGTGATTGTCGAAAGAAGTTGACTTGTTCGTCATGCAACAAGAAGCACCCCACTTGCCTTCATCAAGAAAGAAGAGAAACAACAAGGACAGAAGAAAGAAGAGTGGACTGCGAGTCATCAAACGTTCCAAAACCCACTTCTTGCAATTGCACATCTCAAGGAGCCGCAAGTAGCACCTCAATCATAGTTCCTGTCTGGCTATCGTCATCTAAGAGGCCCGAAGCGGAAGTGCTTGTATATGCTATCTTAGACACGCAAAGTGACTCCACATTTGTTTTGAAAGAAACCTGCGATGAACTTGACGTAGATAAATAACCGACTAAGCTTCGACTGAGCACTATCACTAGTCAAGAGTCAGTTGTCGACAGTCAGAGTCTCGGGTCTTCAAGTAAGAGGATACAATTCGGACCTGAAGATTCCAATACCCGTTGCTTACACGAGTACATCGATACCAGCCAATGAAGACCATATACCGACTACCACCACTGCTAAGAATTGGAGTCACCTGCAACCAATTGAAGAGAAAATGCTCGACCTATTGAACTGTAACGTGGGCTTGCTAGTCGGATATGACTGCTCTCAAGCATTAACCCCAAGAGAAGTTATTTCTGGCGAGAGTAACGAGCCGTATGCTATCAAGACTGATCTCGGATGGAGTATAGTAGGTGGTGAACAGGCCAGGAGTGGAAGGTCGTTTTGCCAAAGGGTTGCTGTAAGGGAGCTACCTGCTGTAACAATGAATGACATCATGCGAATACTCGAGTCCGACTTCAAGGAAAGTAAAAATGATATGAAGACCTCTCAAGAAGACTTGCAATTCCTTAAGATTATGGAAGAAGGAATCAGGAAGACCGAAAACGGACACTGTGCCTGACAATAGCTCAATGGCGATGAGTCGCCTTGAACATCTCAAACGAAAATTCCTGAAGGACTCTAAGTACAAAGAAGACTACATCAAATTCAGGAATGAAGTGTTTAGCAGAGGAGATGCCGAAGAAGCGCCAGTTCTTGCACAAAATGATAGAGTGAAGTGGTACATACCTCATCACGGTGTCTATCACCCAAAGAAAAACAAGATAAGAGTCGTATTTGACTGCTCGGCAAGATTCAAGGGAACTTCATTGAACGATCACTTACTCAGCGGACCTGACCTCACTAACAATTTGACGGGCGTACTCTGCAGATTCAGAAGATATCCTTACGCTATTACTTGCGATGTGGAGAAGATGTTTCACCAATTCGTTGTAAGCGAAACTGACCGTGACTATTTGCGATTCCTTTGGTGGCCCAATGGTGATATCAAGCAAGAGCCCAAGGAGTACAGAATGAAAGTGCATTTATTTGGGGCAACATCTTCGCCTAGTTGTGCCAGCTACGGCTTCAAATACATTGCTAATGAAGAGAAAGAGGCGTAACCTTCAGCTGCAAGGTTCATTACTCATGACTTCTATGTTGATGACGGACTAGCCAGCGTTGAATCCGCCAAACAAGCAAAGGACCTCATCGGAGGAGCTCGTGAAATTTGCAAGAAAGGTAGCCTTCGTCTTCACAAATTTATAGCAAATGATTGGGAAGTACTTGAATCAGTACCAGAAAGTGAAAGAGCAATGGACATCATCCTGGATCTGCCGTCAGAAGAACTCCCCATAGAAAGAGTTCTTGGTATTCAGTGGTCAGTGGGGTTAGACTGCTTCGGCTTCTCCATCGTTCTAAAGGACCAACCCTTAACTAGAAGGGGAGTAATAGCAACGATTGCCTCTGTCTATGATCCTCTCGGATTTCTAGCTCCCTTGGTCTTGAAAGCGAAGAAGATACTACAGGAAATATGTAGGAGAGGTGTCAGCTGGGATGATCCTCTGCCTGAAGAAGTTCGGCCAAGGTGGGAGTGGTGGAAACTTGATCTCCTGCGTCTCAAGGAGTTACAAATTCCAAGATGCTTCGAGCCGAAGACGATGAGCCAAGGAAGAGCTATTAGTTACACAATTTTGCTGATG